GGCAGGCAAGAACACAGAAATAGTCAGAACAGGATTTAATGGTACATGGGTAGCCTGATGAGGCCAGCTGATAACATACATTGTCAGAATATGTCAAAAACACATGTATGCAGAAAATTAGACAGGGGACTTTCTTCATAGCCCTGCTTTTATTAATCAAAACGCTAAATCCTGATCAGGCTTTCCAACAGTTAACAGCAGTTTCTGATCATTTGCTCAACTCTGACAGCTCTGCCACCTCAAACTGTGGTGAAAAATTAAATGATACAGCGTAGGCGTTGGTATAAATCAATATTTCATTAAAAAAGTTCAAACACATGGGCGAAACATCACTCGGAGTGGACAGACTGACGTCATCATGGCACCTAATTTCTGACAGCAATTACAAATCTCTCTTTAAATTGCAAATCTCTTCGCCCAACTCACGGCAGACAGGTCCTTTGAAATGTACATGACAGCTGTGCACGAAGTCCCTCATTAAGCAGGTCTTCGGGGAAGTCTGAGCAAATTGACCCGCTGACCTGTTGCTTCCCAGACTGAACGCAGAGTGTAAATGTCAGAGTTAATGCTAATGACCCACCCTCGCTCTCGCCCTCATCTGAAGGCTGCCACCTGGGGGCAGTAATTGGAAGCCCTGCTGCTGCCTACGCTTCAGCTACCTAATCAGAGTCAGCTCAGTGGAAATGCTATTCACTTTGTTAAAAGCTCCAGCCACAAGCCTGCTGCACAGAATGAGGAGAAAGATGTTTGTGCTAGGCTGTGCTCTAATTAGGGACGCTAGCTGAAAGGTGTCATTGATCTAGTTGGCCTTAATGAAAATGTGAGGAAACGATTTATCCTTAAAGCTCATAATGGTTTACTGCTCTTAGAACACCAACGCATTTCCAAAAATCGGAGTAATCCTTTTCACTTTAATGACTTTTAGGATTAGGACTTTAGGCTTTTAGGATTTTATGTCTTTTTTTTTTAGTCGACAGTACACTTACAGGGATTATCATAAAATTCTGCCTTTTGTTTACAATTTTGACTTAATTATAGATTTTTCTTTTTTACCTTTTTTTTCTTTTTACTGATTTGAAAATATTTCTCTACACACCATTTTCAAATCAAACAAAGAATCTGGCTTGTGTTCTCAAAACAATGGACTGGCCACCCCAGTGTCCAGACCTTAACATCACTGAATGTGTGCTTACTTGGAATGTGAGAAGCAGAAAATGAAAAACCAACTTCTAAGACTGAACTTTGGAGGTGTGGAAAAATATCCCTGCAGATTTCTTTGAAAAACTGAAAGCAAGTCTCCTGAAAAGAATGGAAGGTGTTATGAGAGTAAAGAATGGACACACTAAATACTGAAAAAAATGTAACTCTATTTAGGTTTTGAGGTTTTTGTGTTTTTTCTTTTAAATATGTAAACAGAATAAATGAAGGGTAGTCTTTAGTTTTTGCACATATATGTTGTACATAAATATATTCATTCATTTACATGATGTAAACATAGAAAAACAAAATTTACCAGATAAATGTTATACATGCACTGAATAACCTAATAATCAGGAAATAAATCAAGTTTAAATGTAACTCATTACGTTACTAATTGCACAATTACTTTCTTATGCAGATACAATACCAAAAATTTGGAATCACTGCATAAGTAAAACAAAATACATGTATAAGATGCTATCATGGTGCTACTACTCATAGGTTTCAACTAAATATCAGAAAAATGTGAAAAATGAAGAGATGTTGATAGGTATCAAGAAATTACTATAAACCAATAATAACAGTATGTTATCTATCATTTATAACCATGAGTTCCCCAAAATTTGAAATATCTAAAAATAATTTGAAATACCTTCTGGTGTATTGCTTATACTATTTAGTCTACACTTATTGAATAAAATTAAAATAGTTTTTAATATGTAATTCTAAACTTTTAAATAGTAGTGTCTATTATAGAGTATTGCAAAACAATGATAATAACACAAGACTTAAGCAATATCAATTCAATTTCTCCCATCATATATCAGCACCAAATTTGGATGAAGATAAATCATCAGCCCCTCCTCACCCCTGTCTCCCTCTCTCTCTCTCCTCCCCTCTGTGGTGTCTCTTTTCCCACTGCTGGCTGTAGCTAAAGCACTCCCCATGGCTTTTGGAAGAGAACACACTCAAGGCTCAAAGAAGACATGTAGCCATGCACACTCCTGACTGGCTACTACATCACAGGATGACAGATGGGAAAGGGACCCTACCATCTTTTCCATCCGCATAGAGCACTGCAGCAGGGATGCATTCGGGAAACCCGTGGCGATATTAAAGTCTGGCAATATGGATATTGCTGAATATTACTGTTTCTCATTACACTACCTTGTATGTTCACCAAATAACTGCTGGCTATGAATTTTTCATCTTCTGTGCTGAAAAAACATGTTTTTTTCATCGATTCATGGTTTCACTGCATAGCTGTACTGGAAACTGCTACGCTTTGAGCTGTAGATTTTCAGGCTGAGATGGAAGTGTAGGCTGTACTGCTGTAGGCTGATTTTTTAAGCAGATTAGTATGTATCACATTAAAAGATCAGTCAGTTATCATATATCAATCTATCTAACATCAAGTAATTCTTTAGGATATTCGGATTTACAGCCTTAAAATAACTACATTCACTTTGAATTTACTTGATTCAAATGTGTACATCATTTCCGCATAAATGACACACATTATATCAACAAGTATTGGCCAAAGTAAGGAAATTATAAATAAACCTAATGCATATATTTGAATTGAGTAAATTCAATGCTTCACATTTTTCACTGTTGGATAAACAAATGGCCTTAAACAAGTGCTTTTTATTCATTTCCAAATACTGTTTTTTTTTTTACCATTCAATTGCCGTAGGTATGATGCATTGTTTTGGTCTACCCTGATCCTTAAAAACTGTTAGTATGCAACTGTGTGCTTTATTTTTCTCACTTTTTTTCCTATGTTGACCATCTTTTGGGTCCAGCTCGGGGCTGCTTGGTCTGCACAGACAGCCAGAGTCTGATGACTTTGCTGTATGAGAGATTTTCCAGACACCTCAGGGAGGATTTTTTAAGATGCCTTAAGACTCTCGTGTGCCATGAAGGGGAACATGAAGCTTTGTCAAACTCAACTCCAGAATTTATAGAGTGCCTGTCGTGCTGCGGTGTCAGGAGATATGGCTGATGTTTTCACTTGACTAGTGCATGACGTAGTTTGGTTTAATACTTTATATTTTTTTATATATTTTACACATTTCTTCCTCACAGCTTCTCAATGGGTTGTCACCACTTGCCATCATTTGAATCTCACTTTGATTATGAAGGCCACTTTACTTGGAACACAGTTCTAATACTAAGTAGGACCCCTTGTTGCTTACAGAACAATTTAAATCATTCGTGACATGGATTCAACAAAGTGCTGGAAACATTCCATAGAAATTCTGGTCCATGTTGACATGGTTGCATCATGTAATTGCTGCAGATTTGTGAGCTGCATGTTCATGCTGTGCAGCTCCTGTTCTATCACATCCCAAAGGTGCTCTACTGGATTCAGATCTGGTGACTGGGGAGGCCAGTGAAGAGCACTCATTTCATGTTCATGGAGATGGCTTGTGCTTTGTCATTACCATGCTGAAAGTAACCACTGTGAAATGGGATGCCCATGGTCTACAACAACACTCAGCATTCAAATAATACTTGATTGGTATTTGGAAGCCAAATGTGTACCAAGAAAATATATACTACACCATTACACTACCATCATCTTACCACCATCTTCAACTGTTCACACAAAGCAGGTTGGTCCAATAGATTTGTGCTGTTTACATCAAATTCTGATACTGCGTGTCACAGCAGAACTCAAGAATCATCAGACCAGGCAATGTTTTTCCTGTTGCAATGTGGCCTTCTGCTGTTGTAGCCTGTCCACCTCACATTTTGGTAGTTTCCCTACTCAAACACACCCTCTAAACCTGGCAGTTAACTGATGAGTTGAATCAGATGTGTTTGAGCAGGTAAATCACCAAATTGTGCAGGATGCTGGCACCTTCAGGACCAGAGTTGTGCACCGCTGGTGTAAACGCTAGAGGTTGTTGCGTGTGGAAATCCTAGGAGATCAGCAATTTCTAATACTCACATCACCCTGTCTGGCACCAACAACCATGCCATGGTCAAAGCCACTTAAATCACATTTTTTCCCCATTCTGATGCTCGATGTGAACATTAACTAAAGCACTTCACCCACGTCTGCATGATTTTATGCATTGCGCTGCTTGGATAATTGCATGACTGGGTAAGTATAAAGGTGTTCGTAATAAAGTGGCTGGTGAGTGTTTGTTACAAACTGGGTTATTCTGGGCTATTTGGAATGGTGTTAACTTTGTGATATACACTGTACAAATATTGACCAACAACTATGTTGTGTCTAGTACCATGGTAAGTGTACACAATGTGTGAAACCCCCAGCACTGCTATGTTTGATACACTCATATCAACACAACACACCAAAAGAACCAAAAGAGGTTCTTCTACAGCACTGCCCTGAACATCACTTTTATTCTTAAGACTGCATTTTACCACACTGGTATCACTGTTGTACTGAAAATGGTCCACCAGCCAAATAATATCTGTTAATTGGTGGTCCAAAGGTGGCCCCTTTCCACTGATGGACAGGGAAAAGGGGGCTGACAAATTGTCCAGCAAATGATGATCTACAGTCAGTAACTCTAAACCTACAAACTTACACCTATTTGGTAGGTGTTTCCGATAAAATGGCTGGTGAGAAGGTGCACATAAACTGATAACTAGCAAACACAAACAGTTTTGCTTATTCTCTTTCATGATGGTATTATTTATGCTTGGCTGATGGATGATAAGGTATTATTCCTCAGTGCAGACAGGGTTATGACAGACGCCTGCTCTCTCTGGGAAAGAAATAGCACTGTTGACTTTGAAATTACAGTCCACAGGTTTGTACTTACACTCAGAAGCAGGGGACGGCTCTCCTTGACCGCTCCAACACAGCCGAGACAACCGATCACCATGATGATGGTTCCCACAGCAATGAGGAGATTGGCAGCAGAGAGAGAAGGTAAGGAGGACGAGAGAGTGGCAAAGTTTCCCTGGGTGACTGACAGCCACACCCCGACTCCAAGAATTCCACACCCCCCCAGCTGCAAAAGAGAGAGAGAAAGAGACAGAGACAGAGAGAAAAAGAACATAAATCATGAAATATTTATAAAACAAGCAAGTTGCAACCTTTTCCATCAATAAGAAAAAGCCACACATGCACATATACACAAATGCACATGCACCCAGGGTGAGAACTCAATGGAAAGTTACAAAAGATAAATCAATTTGTTTTTGCTAAATCGTTGACAAGAATTGCAAATATGAAGCTATTCGCTACCCTAGACTTTAACAATAACAGCAACCAAATGCACTTTTCACACCATTGAAAGATGTGTGTTCAGTGCCTTTTAGTTAGGGAACATAATTGTACCACATTCTGTTGTAGGTATATTTTTAAGTTGCATTGATTCCATACGCTGGCTCGACTCCAGACTTTTTTATTTTTCTGTTTACTAGTTCAGGTCATGCCTTCAACATATGTACATATGTATGACTGAGAGAACTCTGAGAATTTGGCTGGAATATTGGCTGGCTTTTGCTTTTAGCTACAAGGCCAGACCACCCCCTCTTGATGAACAGGGGTAGGACTGGGAGATGGGACTACAGAACAGGGAGGAGATGGGGTGGCAGAGCGGTGTGAAATCTTTGTCCCAGGAAACAGAATGTCATTAGAATGTTTTACTAGAAAGAGGAGAAGCTTCAGTCATTTCATAAACTTCAACTATTTCAAAGCTCCATTTTATAAAAGTTAAGATATGAAATATTACAAATAGGCACCTTGAGAGAGGAAAGTATCATACCTTTAAAACTCACTAAAGGAGCACAGTAGTACCTTATAAATGACTGTAATGAGGATACATTTGCAAACCCAATTCTAAAAAAAGCTGGCACAGTAGGTAAAATGCAAATAAAAACATAAAGCAGTGATTTAAAAATCTACTTTGACCTGTATTTGAAAAAAAAACAGTTAATACAAAGTAAAAGCTTCCATTTCACACTCCTATTACTTTAGAATTACTTAAGACTGGTCTTGTCCAATGTAATTACTGAATAGTAATTAAGATGCTATAAGCCTGGTGTTTCACAGTTGACTTTATGTAATGCAAATTTAGTCACTTGAAACTTGAATGCCATGAATTGCCCAGTGTTGGGCTGTTTGTTTGTGAAGTCTCTGTGTTCCTTACATGAGTTCTTATCTATGATTTCTTTGTGCTTTTGTCTTCTTGTGTATTGACCCTAGCTTTGTTTTCTGGATCTACATGGAAATCATGTTACATGCAACGTCCAGACAGCAGGGTGACATTGATCTATTATTGATTTTCCATCAGAATCATCTATTTGGTCAAGGTTGAAATTTCAGAGTCAATATTGGCAGTAATGACACTAAATATTCATTGATTTACAGTTATACAGTGCCCTTCATTATGTTGTAACAAAGGCACATATATATATATATTTTTTTCATTTGACTTTGTATTGCACAATTTTAATTTTGTATTCAAACAATTCACATGTGGTTAAAGTAAAGGTTGTTTTTATAAATTTAATTTCACAATTTCACACATGTAGAAATTGTAGTTGTTGTGTATATGTATATATATATATATATATATATATATATATATATGTATGTATGTATGTATTGCTGTTGTCTGAAGAAAACCTCATATCTCCAAAATGATAACAGAAGAAGGAAAAAACATACATTACTTTTAATATGTCAATAGAACCAGGCGTTTTTCAAAGTCATTCTGGGCCATATGTGTGTGTGTGTGTGTGTGTATATATATATATATACATAGCAGTGGTATATAGATAAATGAGTCATGTTTAGTACTTTGTGCATCCCTTGTATGTAATGACAGCTTGAAGTCTGCGTAACATAGACTTTACCAGGTGTTGAGTATCTTCTCTAGTGAGGCTCTGCCAGGCCATCTGTACTACAGCTATCTTCAGCTCCTGCTTGTATCAGCGACTAGTACCCTTAAGTTTTTCCTTCTGCATATGAAAGACATGCTCATTTTACCTAATTTACCATTACATTACACTCTTTAAAAAGATGGTTCTTCAAGGGTTCTTCAATAAAGAAAATGAACACTCAAAGAACCCTTTATATGTTTATCGGGTTCTTTGCATGGTGAAATGGATTTTCAGATTGATGGAGAATGTGCTGTGTATGGTTCTTTATGAACTTTGTTGAAAAGCCTTCTATATAGCACCAAAAAGAGCTCTTCTATTGTTACAATGTCAAGCTTGTAACAACGGAAGAACCCGTCACTCATGTCTATTCATATGAGCTATGCTGACTAAGGAAAATGAACTATTTAACTGTCATTTGTTCAGCTGAAAATTGTAACTGTCTGCTTTTCAAACAACAGAGCGAGAAGGAGAAATATTCATACTTCTAAGCTTCTTGTACAACAACTGGTTACAGAACACAGCCTGATTTCATGCTTTTATTTTTCAGAGCACTCAAGGAAAAGCAGATCTTGTGAAGTCAACGAGTCATTTGTTGTTTGTGGATTAATGGCAGTTTGCCTGTGACTGTTTTTCTCACTACTGAAAAATCCCCCTTAAAGCATTTTCTTGTTATCTGGTTATCTAATAAATCTAAATTTATGACAGTTACTACAGAATCAAACAAAGGATTTTTTATAAACATTAAATATCTAATAGTAGTTTATTTCTCTGAATGTTTTTCGACGAATTGCAGCGCTCTGGATCACTCACCACACCCGCTCACAGACACAGAGGAGAGGTGCTGGACCCAAACACACCAATCATTTGATGGAAAATCAAAAGTGAGATGTCATATTAGGGCACTGAGTTGATTTTGGGTCATTTTTTGAAAGACCTGATACTTTTGCACACCTTGAAACTGCTCTCAGAGAGTGGAAGTCCTGCTGATTGTTCTGATATGTGTATCATGTCGGTAGATTAGATGTTCTTTTGAGTTATGAAGCCTAAAAAAACTGTCTGCAAAAAGCAGCTTCAGGTTCTAACAAGAAATAATTCTTCTGCGGCATTGCTTTTCAGCAAGCTTTATTTTTAAGTCTTTAAAAAGCAACAGCGTTGTTTTTCTCCTAAAGTATGTTCCCACAGCTTTTCCTCCTCCAACCTACTTACACCCTGACTTAAATACACATATGTTTAAAATATACCGCGCAAAACCGCTAATGCAGTGCTGCTGTCTACTGTATGTGATATACTGCTCCGGCTTAGAAACACTTCTGACAGGTCTTGCAGCACTCTGTGAGCTGTTCATCTGTCAGGGGTAAAGATGAGGACGTCACAGATGTAATCTTTTCAAACTCATGTGACGCATGGAAGGAATAAAGAATTCTCTCTAACTCTCTCTTTCTCTCTCGCCCCCATTCTTTGTGAGCAAGGCTGTGAGCTAGCCTGGGTCTTTATATGACTCAGAAGATAGAAGTGCTAGACAGTACCAGAGGGGGGGAATAAAATCTTAGCGATGTTCTTATAGAGCAAGTGTCTGGATCCTGGGTCTTGTATGATATCCCATGTGCCTGGAGAGTGCATGTTGTTTTCTCCACAAAAGCTCCATTCCACTGCTGGCAAGCCTTTGTACTCCATTCTATTCTTTTACCATTCCTAATGCCCGTGAACTAAAAGACGTTATTAGCTAGATTAGCACTCACACAAGGATATAAAGCCGTATGGTTTTTTTTTTTTCTTTACTATACCCCGGGGTTAGCTCCTCAACACTGCACCGCTCTATCGACACATGAACGTCTAGTCTTGCCACTTCTAAAATGTTTTGACTCTGAGCGCAAGCTGTGAATGAGATCAAAAGGTCTGTATGATTTCAGAGAGAGCAGCTTTGATGTTTAACACTTGTTAATTTATGATAATCCTGCCACAGGGCTTTTGCCACGAGGAAGATCCAGGATATCTGCTTCTTCGTCGGGTTCTTCGTCTTATTCTTCTGTTACTTCTTCATCTTCATCTTCTTCTTCATCGTCATCTTCTTCTTCATCTTCTTTTTCATCTTCTTCTACTACTTCATCACTATCGTCTTCATCTTCTCCTCTTTCTAGAACAATGGCTACACCTCCTTCTTTTGGGTGGAACATTGTAAGAGTCTACAAACATGCTGTAGAAGGCACATCGATGTGTTCTATTCATATAGAGATGAGACGAGCAGGAGCAGAAAGAACATGATATTACAATTGCACATTCACTCGTAGAGTGCAGTAATATGCAATAATAAAAGTGCATAATGTAACAGCTATAGCCATCTGAAGAACAATCACCACATATTTTTCAGTGATGGTGCTTTTTATTTTTATGTGGAGTTATTTTATACCTCATTGTAGTCAACACTGTTGAAGATGCATTTATTTAATCTTTGTTCATATCACAGTGCTGTTCAAAAATCGTTCATTTACTTCATTTCCAGTACAAGGAAAATAGATGAAAAAATAAAAAAATACAAAAGAGGAGTTAAAAAAATTATTAAAAGATAAAATATTATTAAAAGAGACAATAAGACTCCTAAAAACTGTTCAAGATCTGGCAGACCACCAAAACCATCACCATCAGATAAACAGTACTTAAAGCTAAAAGAAAACAAACAAGCAAGTAAGTAAGCAAACAAACAACCACATAATAAATAAATAAATAAATAAATAAATAAGCAAGCTGCTGCTGATGTTCTGATGACCCCAGAGTCCAGGCCTCAGCATCTGAACGTGAATGTGTTTAACATTACTTAGAATGTGTGAAGCAGAAATTCAACCAACTTCTAAGACTAACCTTTGGAGCTGTGGAAAAACATGCTTGCAGAGGTCTTTGAAAAAATGAACGCAAATCTTCCAAAAAGAATGGAACCCATAATAAAGACAAAGAGGGGACAAGCTAAATACTAAATATGTATCTCTCTCTCTCTCTCTCTCTCTCTCTCTCTTTCTATATATATATATATATATATATATATATGATTGAAAATTTATTAAATGAAAGGTGGTCCCTGAATTTTGCACAGTATTGTACATTTGACATCAGCTGCAGCACTGTGCAT